ATAAAAAAGTTGCATAATTTTGCTTACAGTCAGTGTGTTTGTCCTATCTGCTCAGCACAAGACAAATTCCTTGTGTGTGTAACATCTTTGGCAAAATAAAGTGATTCTGGCTCTAATAACAATCCCACCATCTCTCCAACGTATTTCATATTGTTCTGTCTTGTGGATCAGATTTGGGGTGAGACACTAACTTTACCACTAACATGTTTTTGCAGTGTCTTAGAGTGTCCCATTAGCCCTCTCTTTCTGTCTGCCAGCCTATAACCCCTTCAGCAATCTACGGCGCCCTCTGACCTCTCCGACCGCTGCCTGAGGAAACCATGGAAACTTTTCATGTCCGGCACACAAGGAAATAAAACTGGGTGATCTGTCCGTTCGGAATTTGTCAAACATTTCATCTCCAGCTCAAACTGGGCAGGTTTGCTCTGCCTTTATTCCCGTTATTACACATCAGAGTCCCGGCGTAACTGAAATATCACTTAGCAACCGCAGCAAACATACACAGCTGCTGTACAGCAAAAAAAAACGATTTGCGATTTTCACAAGAGCCAATTACAGAGTAAAAAGTATTCCGCAGGATGGACGGATGCATGTGATATCGGAATCGTATTGTATCGGTATATATTTGGTTAGAAAAAATATCAACATCAGACAGATGCTTAGATTTGGCCGATATTTTAAACCGATATTTGATGACATTCTTATAAGAAACAGTAGAATATTCAGGCGATGCTGGGCTACTGCTCTAAAATATCTGCAGTTCATCTATTTGACTACATTTGTTACTAGAAAAATAACTGTTACTTGTAATTTCTCTGTAACACAAACTCAGTTGGATTTATTCCTAATTTACACATTTTATAAGATCCGTACACCAAAAACATCAGCCTCAAACTGCGAAACTGGCGCCTCGCTGAAGTAATCTAGTGTTTAAAATGTGGTGGTCCTTGGTGGTGTGATCAGTGAGCAGCTGGAGAAAGCTACTTTTCGCGCCTTACAGTATGTAATATGTTTTTTATTTGGCACCAGTAATCTTTTAACTGTGCTGTGATTGTATCTAAAGTTATTGCACACGTGGCTTAGAAAAAAACATGTAAGTAACATGACAAGCAAACTTGTTTAAAAAGTTGTGACGTGAAAATGAAACCAAAAGTATTTTTTCTGGACCTAAACCTCTGGAAATAGTGGGATGAGCTTCTTTACAGTGCTATGAATTTCTAAGAATTCTTAAAGAGCACTCAGGGACCAATGGAAGAGGCCACTTTTCCAAGCAAAGCTCCGAACATGACATCCTTTGACATGAAGTCATTAAGTCTTTTATAGTTCACACAGTTCATCAGACAAGGCTGCATGCTGCTTACCTTACATCCATGGCTGGAGACTGTGAGATGCTAACATAAAGTAGCTATGCAGACTTAAATTTTATTAAAGGAAGTACTTAAACTCTGAGTTTGAGTCAGATTAATGAGACATAGATTATAAAGTATTTTTTAAAGGACAAGAACTAGATAACTCTGGAACCAGCACTAATTAAAAATGCTTGCCAAGAAAGAAAAGTAAACCAAGAGTGATAACAGGCTTTTTTATACGTTGGACTTTTTTTTAAACTAGCAACTCATCCAGGAACAACTCTGAGATAACTCTAGAGTGAAGAGAATGCTCTCAGTGTGTTTGTGTGAGCGTGTGACAGATACCTCTCCAGGCTGGAGGTGAGAAGACACAGGGCAAAAGGTCCAAAAGGTTCACACATATGGAACCATCAATCTTTCTCTCCCCCAGAACCTTCTACACACACACACACACTCCCTCCGAAAAACACTCTAAAACCTGTTTATAACATTTCACCAACACGTGCTCCTAAAGCACACAAACACAGAGAAGAGATAACACCCAAGCACGCTGTAATTCAATCCTGTTTGGAACATTTTCGCACCGTTAAAGAGCCAGAATCAAATATTCTAATTCTGGTTTATTCAGAAAGAGACATGTCAGAACATGTTCTCATTCAGCTTTAGCAACTTTCACCATTTTGACTTTTCCTAGAACCTTCCGAAAAGAGCTATGGCTCCAAAACAGCTATCGTTTGCATAATTGCCCTTCCTTTGGTGAATAAAGGCCAGATGTCCCGGTTTGGTCAGTCATCTCTGGCCAAACAAATACCCCTTAAAGAAGAGCTTTTCTTAGCAGAGGCAGTTGGGGGCAGTTGAGGGCAGTTGGGGGCAGCTAGGGGACAAAAGGGTCCGGAGAGAAAGGCTTTTCATTCGTCCTGGTGAGCAGCAGAGCAGAAAGCAATCGCATGGAGACCAGTAGCCCCTTTCACTCCGGGACCACCACTCCACAATAAAGTTAGCTATTCAGGAGCAATGGCATGAGAGGGCAGAGAGAGAGAGAGGGAGAAAGTGTGTGTGTGCATGTGTCTCTTAGTTTGAGAGTGTGTGTGTAGGCACGTTTATCATTTAGCCTTTCTGTTCTTAGATAAACCTGGTAATATCTACGATCATCTACCAGCACCTTTGTTTTTACCCTCGCTGAGTATTTCTCAGGTAGCTGCCAATTTTACGAGCTTGCAGCGAGCTAGCGGCCCTCCTCTAAATGTCCCCTTAAAACAAGCCAGTAAACAGCACTGGCTGCCTTTTACTGCAGCTACAGTTCATTACAATAAACCGCAGTTCACTCATTTTACATATCACCTCAATCAGCAGCCCAACACATAACCACATACTTGAAGAAAAGTGGTGCCTGTAGTGTCGCTGAACTTTTTTTTGGGGGGAGGGGGTTGTGTTTTTGTTGCTTTAAAACATTTGCTGTTTCTCTCCTCGTTCCTCACCATGTTGTTATGCAATCTGAGGCTCATTCTGGCCCCATTTTACAACATCTACCCCCACAGGTCTGAGTCACAGCCTGCCAGTGCTAAACTGCAGTGTAAGTCCTGAGGGTGTGTAAAAGAAACTTGAGTGGAGACGGGGAGATGTCCCTAAACAGCCAGGCCTGCTGGACCTGCTCCTCTGACCACAGCAGAGGATACATACACAAACACACATCATATCAGCAACCACAATCCCAACTAGGGCTCAACTGATAGATCGCCTGGCCAACATTATCGGTATCAGTGGGAATGCCCCAGATAACACATCGATACTTGTTTATTATACGCTCGTTTATTATTGTAATTAATAAATTCCTCTAATAAAAGGGAGAATAGCTTGTTTGTAAAGGTTTTAAGCTCTCATGCTACTCATTATATGCTTTTAACCCAACCATTAGCATAAGAATAACATGTAATAACAATGTAATACATAAAAAATGTGTGTAAAGATAACAACTAAGAACAAGAAGAGAACAGAAACGAACCAAATCACTAAGAATGCTGGGATGCTCTGCCCTCAGCATCAGATCATTTGTATTATGTAAGAGTGCTCAATAAGTTTACGGCATTTGGGAAATGATAACTGATAGGAATTTTTTAATTCACAGCGGACAAGTGGCAATTATACTAGTCAGCAAAGCACTGTTTATCAAAAACTACCCGTTTTTTATTTTTATAACCGTACAAATGATTTGGGCTGATGACATCAGCTAATTATCAGACTTTTCAGCTCCTCACAATCCAAACTAATGATAAAATTTTCATTTTAATTGGGCCCCAATCATAACACCCATTGACGCATATGCACTTAGACCGAACTTTGCTAAAAGCAAAGCATTCCTTTAGATGAACCCCACCCTGCTCAAGCGGTAGTGACATAAAAGGCCCAGGCTTGTGAATAGGGGTCACCTACTCTATACCGCAATGCTCTGACCGCATCCTGGACCCGGCTACTAACCTTTTAAACCTGCCCGCCCTCATTTACACACCAATGGATGCATTCTCTCAGTATCTCCCCCAGCTTTCAACCACTGGCCTCCAGCAATGAAGGCTCTCATCCCCCACCAATGCCTAACTAGACCACAGGGAAAGAAAGAATTTAATTTACAAACATTTATTTCATTTGACAAATCTAAAACTTTGAACAAATTCAAGGAACTTCAAACATGCACTTTTAAGTAACTCAATATCAAGAGTAGAAAAGATTTAAGATTTTAGATCGACAAAATCTATAAAGCACTTGGGTATCTTTTTGTCAAGTATTAGTAAGATTAAAGCTCTAATCAATAATTACTATGTTTTTTGATACTGCAATAACAGAAGCTTTCAAACTGCAGTGCTACAAAATTTACATTTCAACAAGACCAGCCTCCTCAAATGCACTCCAAGTACAGTGTTTGTATACAGGTGAAAATCAGCTGCCGTCAGGACTGAATATGATCCCCAGGTGAAGCATGAAACCTGTGCTATGTTCCTAATGGACTGTGACAGATCACTGCACTCAAAATCACTCCAAATCTGCAGAAACAGCGCAATACTTTGTGGAAATAGGCTTAAGTGTTTCACAGCAGATCTATTTCTGTTTCTTATTCTCACAGTTTACCCAAACTATCTGAGTAAACAGACCTTTCACCTTTTACAGTGTGAGCCCTGCCTGTCTCAATGTCCCAACATTTGTGTAGGCTACTGTATGTAACATATGTCACTCTCCTCACCTTCTCTCTCCCCTTGTTCTCTGCTCCTACGTGACTTACATGCTTTTTCAGCAGGATGAAATCTGACCCACAGAAAGAAGCCAGAGGGAGATAAAGCAGGACTTCTACAAAGTGTAACCTAACTGCCCGTGTTGGGTGTCCTTTGTGAGGTTATTTGGGGATTCAGGAGAAAAAAATGTTGACCTGATGCGGTATCGCTGATCATAGAGGGCAACAAAGGGCAACACAAAGGTATTTTATGGGTTTTAATATGCATGAGGGCAGCTAAGGAGCATGCTATACTATTACAGCAATCACTAGGCCACACAGCGAGTGCACTCTCTGGATTCTACTGTGTATCAGTTGCCAAGTGGGTAATTTGGGCACTTGGCAGGGCCAAGAGGACGTTTAGGGGTAACAGAGGTGGCATTCGAACTTACTTGCAATAGTCAGGCGAGCTTTCTGGCTCAGGATAGCTCCATATTTGTTCTGAGCAAGGCACTGATACGACCCTTCGTCTGATTTCTCTCCTCTTCGATTCTCCGCCTCTGAGACAAAGAGCGATCCATTGGCAAGCGGGTAGACACGGTCCGTCTCTGGCAGGGGAGATCCGTTTTTCAGCCAACGGATATGAACAGGTACCTCCCCCTGAGCCTGGCAGTCCAATATCACCGCATCCTTACGCAAGACTGTCACATCGCGAGGCTCCTTAACAAAGAATAACTCACTGAAACAAAACACACCTGCAGAAACAGAGAGGAGAGAGAAGTGAGTGAAAGAAATGAGTGGACACAGAGGGGTGACTATTCCTGCACAATCCTCCTCGCCTTGTTTCTTTTAACTGAACTGGACAACACAACACTGGAATGCTTCACTCTTTCTTCATTCACTATTCCCTATATAGTGTTTACCACATTAAGCCAGTGACAATTATTAAATAAACGCCTCATCGCAATTATTTGAGCTGACCACAATTATTTTCCATAGCTGGCAGCTTTTACAGTAATAAGTTTACCTTACAAAGGAGAAAAGCATTTATTGAGACATGTCATGGATGGTCTTAAGAAGACAGCAAAAGTTCTCACCCCTAACTGGTGTTATAACACTCTTAGCGTAGCAGTGAGTACTATTTGTTTATTTGAACTGAAGCTCTGCGTTGCCAGAGTATCCACAGCTAGGAAGCAAGACAGCTAATCAATTTGGCCATTTTAGCCTTGTACTTCAATAGCTGCATGTAGTGAACATAACAGACACTTAAAGTGTTAAACACAATTACTTATAAGGCAATTAATTGTCAACTATAATTTCACGATCATGACCCATATATGCCGTATGCTAAACTGATAATGTGATCAACTGCAAACAGCTGACACACTGTATCCCCCAATATTCCAATAAAGAAAGCGATCAGAAATGTAGTTTGACTTTAAAGCACGCTCACTCTAGCAAACTCTGACTTTTGGGATAAAGCGCTCGGATAGCTGGCATCGTTCCAGCGGCAAGTTTTCATTTGGCTGCGTTTCTGTAATCATATTTGTCTTTGCGGATTATGCTTTACGCTGGCCTAATCCACTTACCCATGCCTTGTATAGACAGGGTGCTAGGAGGAAAGCGAGTCTATCCGTTTCTTAAATGCTTTATTGTACCCCCTGCATGAAATCTGAAAAGGCATTGATCCTACAGTGGCAGGCTGCCTTACACCTTCACACACACCAGAACTACGGGAGGGGGAAGGATCCCCTCACCATGCAAAAGAGTATGAGACCACCACATCAACAGCTCTTTTATTTCCTCTGAAAGCGGTCTCTTCTGCATCATTTTGACCTTGTCTGAGAAACTTCAACACAACAGAACGTCTTCCATGCACTCTAGTGATATCTAATTGTTGTTTTGCAGCACTTTTGAGAAGCTAATTTGACCAATATCAAAACCAAGTACTGTAAATTCCTTTATTTAACGCATAGTATAATGGATTACTTGTGGTAGTTTGGGATTTAGAGATGTGTAGAGTAACCTAAACCCACACTCAAGTAAAAGTAGTTATTACTTGCAAAAAGTAACTTAAGTAGAAGCATAAAAGTAGCTGGACAAATATCTGCTAAGTAACTTTCTTAGTACATCCAACATCTATCAGCATCCTTAGTTTAAGATGATAAAGAGTAAGAGGTTTGACCAATCACAAAGCAGCCCACATGCTGTTGCCAACATAACTGAATGAAATCAAAGGCGTAGCCAAGGGGTCGCTGGGGTGGCCAGTACTACCCCAGAATGAAGCACGGCCACCCTACAAGCCCAGTTATGGAAAGTGAGAAAGTCAGTCACCATCAGTCAGCCATCATTAAAAAACATCAATTATACATTCAGGTGAAAATCTGTTACCAATCAGTTATTAGAGTGTGACAATGCTGCATTTAGTAATTAGCTTGCTTTTTAATTAATTATCTTGCTGTGATAGGCTAATTCACTCTTTAGCAGTCCCTTTAGCAGTGCTGCTCTGTGAGCCACATTACGAAGTAGGCTATTCAACAGTCAGATCAAAAATTAGTCATCTATAATCATTTATTATGCTAATATTTCTTTTTTGCAGTTCAATACATGTGTATGTGTTGTAGGTTCCCTTATTCATTGCAATCTGGCAAAGTTTCTAACCATTAACCTGTATTAAATGCAATCTAAATGAATAACTTGTGCACTGAAAAAAGTGATGCACTTAGTTTACTTGATTCAAGTGCATCATTTCCCCATGAATGACTAAAACACATTACATCAACACAGTTTTGTCCTTCAGTTTACTTTCAACAACAGCTGTATTGATAAGTTGTACTGATTTTATACATGTGGAAATGATGGACAGATTTAGTTACATACAGAGAAAAACGATGCATCGATTTATATCTCATTTTAATACAGTAATGCTATTTAATGATTACTTTTTTTCCCAAGCACCCCAATAATATCTCTGGGTCTTATCTGATCACCCCATTCTAAAAGCTCTAGCTACACCACTGAATGAAGTTAAACACATGTTAACAAAATGTGTAGGACAAAATTTGTGATGTGTTGAGTAAAAAGTAGATAATATAATCACAAACATGCTTGAGAAGAAGGAACAGGTATTCGCATCTAAAATGACCAAAATGAAGGTCCACCACATGTTCCTCTTCAATGACTTCCAATAACAACTTTCCTCATTAGCTCCACAAAATCAGCTCGAATGTGGGCGGGAAGCACAGTTCAGACAGGAGATAAACTTGCACAACTTTACATCCAGCTTAAGGAACAATTCCAACAATTCGGTCTAATTCAGTCCTTGAAATGTAAACAGTCGTTCACAGTGGTTTGGTGTGAAATGGTTCGTTACAGAAACTCAGTGGTGATGCACACCTCACAAACATGGCCATTTCATTACAGTGAAGCTAAACGTGTCTTCTGAGTTTTAGATGTAATGTTGATGGTAGTAAAATAATAATAAAACAATACGTTTTTAAGGGGATTATTCTGTCTTACAAGGCCCTGCAAATACATCTCAAGTCAAAACTCTATTAAAGACTAACATAAAACCATGCCTCAGTCATCAGGCAGCGTATTCACAACCACTTCATGTAATAACTCTCTGTGAGGGAGCTTTCAGAGCTGGACGTCTGGTTCCCATCACCACCACTGTGAACCCATTCTCGATAAGCTTCTCTAGAACAGAGAATTTCACACCAAACCGCTCTGTTTACATCTTCACCATGAAATTACGCAATTTTTTTTTTTGAAAAATCGATGGAGTTCCCCTTCAAGCGAGTATCAGTGCGTATTTCTAACGGACTGCATCATAACCTACGAATAAAAGTACGTTTTTTGCGGACGCTGGCAACAACAACGTTTGGCAGAGCTGTTTCACCGCACGTGCGCCGCACGAGAGGCAAAAGCGCTCACTGACTTAACCGCTTAACTCACTGGCTCGAGCGTTGCGCGAGGCAGGATATTTAAATTAGCTAGGAACGTCCGTTCTGTTTGAAAACGAGAAGCCGTTAAATATTCCGTCAGCGTTAAACGAAGCTCTGCTGAGGAAAAGTTAATCTGGACATTAGTTTGATTAAATCGTCCCACCGTTTGACCGTCCTGGGTGAGCGGTCAGACGCGAGAGGCGGTAAGTTAGCCAAGTTTTATGGCGACAACGTGAGAACGAGTTATTAGTTCTTAAAAATGTCTTAAAACGGTAGAAATGACACGTTTTGTAAGCCCAAACTGCTAAATTCCACTTCGCTTGATGTGACCATAGTAATAAGCTTTAACCTCTTATTCGCCAGCTTCTTATTCCAGTTTTCCCGTTCCACCTTAAATGGCGCAGCTGTTCCATTCTGGCGCCTGCACCGTTTAAGGTGGAACGGAAAATTCGAACAAGACGCTCACTTCACCTTCGCCAACAGAAGGACAAGTTAACTTACCTGTGATTGGCAGAAGAAATACTGCAAACAGCAAACGCTGACAAAAAATCCCTTTAAAACGAGCCATTTATTTGAGTTGTCCGTGCATGCTAGCTAAGCCTACAGGCTGCTGCCTCCTCTGACTGCTCTCTGAGGCTCAGTCACTGAGGGCTGCTGACCTGGGAGGGGGACTAGTTTCTTTTAGGCGCCGAGCGGATGGACACCACCTTCTTGGTGATGTGTTGCAGCTTCTCTTCTCACCGGTTCACACTGCGGAATCAGACCGCAGCCAACGTTCACATGGCTGTGTGTTTCTGTATTGTAGCTCATGTAGCTGTATATATATTTTTTTCATATATCCAAATGCATAAAAATATGCAAATATTTAATATAATGTGATTTTACAATTAATTTAACATAGTTTCATTTATGATTCTTGAAATAGTGGTTTTGCAGCGCTCTTAAAGGAGAAGTCTATCGATTTTTAAAAAAATTGTACATAATTAAATGGTTGAGATGTACAGAGTCGTTGAGAGTGGTTTAATGTTAAGTGGTTCATTGTAGAGAAACTTACAGACTTCTATACAGTGGTGCTGATAGGAGCCAGGGGTCACAATGTCTACAACACAAATATAGACATTTTATTTACTCTCCAAAACCTGAACCTACACACATCCTCTGAGATTTTATATGTAATGTTGATGATGATAAAGTAGTCATAAATCTTAAAGTTTTCTTTGGGGACTATTTTGACAGTTTTAACACGCTGCATTAAAATACATTTTAAGCCAAACCTTTATCACTAAACAATGTCTCAGACATCAGATGGCATATATCTAACTATTTTATGTAATAACTTTCTGGAGGGAGGTGTTAAAGGTGAACATCTGGTTCCATCATAACCATCTGACTCGGTAAGTTTCTCTAGAACAGAGCATTTCACACCAAACAACTCTGGAAGTTTTTGTTTACATCTTAACCATTTCATTATATGGAATTTTCGAAAAATCGATTGAGTTCCCCTTTAACTGTGCTCTTAAACTGACAGATAGGCAAGTGTCTCTCTTGTTCTGCTCCTGATCTAAGTACTGATAGCCCCTTATTTTTGTAGGCTTCTTTAATGTTTTATAAAATACATTATTAAGAATGAGTCGACAGTGGGCTTGTTGATTGATTAGGGAACATGTAGCCTGTCATCATATACAAAAAAAAAAAAAGAAATACACACACACATCTTCTAAGCCGCTTATCCTTCTGGGTCGCGGGGGGAGCTGGAGCCTATCCCAGCAGTCATTGGGTGGAAGGCAGGATACACCCTGGACAGGTCGCCAGTCCATCGCAGGGAAATAAGAAATATATTTTAAATTCATTTTATTTGCACAGCACAATTTGCATTCCACTTAGCGTACATAAAATGTAATTTGCATGCTTTATAATTCATAAAATAGTGATCTTGCAGTGCTCTAAAACTGAAGCTAGGCATACTGAGCACATGTCAAATCCTGTTGTAAATCCAAGACAGACAGCCTTTTATTTTTTGTAGTTTTCTGTGCTGGAACTAGGCCATGTGTAGTGTCATGAACAAAAATGAAAATAATAAGTATTTTTAAGTTAAATGTACTAAAATGTACATGTTTCTGCTTGTGTAGGAAGATGGGTAATTAAAGAACTACATCATTTTTTGGTTTGACTGAGTTTGGCCTTAACTCAGACTTAACTCACACTTTCTCCTCCCAAGTCATGACCAAGTACACAAACTCAGCTGTTCATGACTGTGTGTGTTTCAGCATAATAACTGGCTCGTGGCCTTATCGATAAGGGCAGCTGGACATCTGTACAGGGCACAGAAATATTGATTGGTGGAGGAGGAGAGTGACCTCCCTTTCGCTGCCTCTGCCCTCCAGACCCTCTGACCAGCCGGACAAAAGGCCCAGCTGTGCCGTGCTTCGCCATGCGGTACAGGCTTATCCTGTGATCCGATGTCTGTTCAGCAAGAAACGGTAGGTTTCCCACAGTCACTTTATGGAAATTATATAGGATGTGCAACCTTATACTATCAATCCAATACAAGGTTATTATGGCTTATGTCTTTTAAGCCAATTTATAAGCTTATATCTCAAACCAGCACAAACAAGGATGAGGTTCTAGCCAGTGGTCAAAAGGTTAGAAATTGGGCTGGTGGATTAAAATAGTTATAAACTGTAACAGTTTTTAGTGCATATATCTCTCATCTTATACTTCAGTTAAGATGTCTTTTTGTTTATATTGTTGCTGTAAAATAGTATCTCCAAAATGGTAACTTTAAAGGAGAGGGCAAAAACTTTCTTTACTTTCAGTGTAAGTTAATGGAAACATATTTTATTTCAAGCAGTTTTGGGGCATTTCTATTGGTCCGATCATCATGAAATGTTCACACAATGTAATGGACAGCTGTTGAGCTCACATGATGCAAAAAGAAAAAATCACAAAAGCGACGACATGAAACAAAGTTCAGTATTTGTCTGAGATTGTAATTTCTATTGACATGGCTTAACCTAAGAACTCCCAAAACATCGAAAGCAACCTGGTGTGTAAATCTTTACTATGGATAGAATTCAAATAGCGAAAACAGACATATTAAATGCTAACATATAGAGTAAACATTGTTAATCCAAAGGGGACATACAGGTGAGTAATTTATAGCATTTTTTTTTACCTTTGGGGATGGTATCAAATCAAGCCCTTGTTATATTCTCAGAAAGTAATTTTACTTTAACCCCTTACATGTCCAGGGCCCACCGGCAGGGCCAAAGTTTTATTACACACTTCCATAACCTAAAACATTACCTCAACCAGCTCAACAGCTCAGTCAGTTTGCATTGAAGTCCCTGTAGTTACTGAATAATAAACCTTAGTATGTAATAATCCTGGAATTTCAAGGAGTTGATTTGCCTTAGATTCAATTGTTCGAAGGCTTTATGTCATATATGTGTCTTTTTCAACATAATTTTAGACATAACTGCACTGACCAAAAACACAAATGCAGACAGGTCTATTAATCAAGGATGTAAAGGGGCACCTAAAATTAGCATTTAACATGTTATTTGTCATGTTATGTAATGTTTTGCTGGGCAGCTTTGTATCACTCAGCCTCTTCAGTTTCCACAGAATTCATGATTTTGTTTACTTTTTGTGTTTCTATCCATCAGTGTTCTCACACTATAGTACCCAGCATGCATTATGCAAAAGAATTTCATACAAACATTGGAGAGCCACCTCTCGACTCCCTGCCCCACCCAACATGGAAATCAAGAAATCCTCTAATGTAGCTTTGATGTGGAGGCCTAAATATAGATGTGAAATTCGGCTCTAGTGATTCAACTAAATGCTACCTACAGGAAAATAGAAACATTTCAAACAGCCACAAAGCAGTTGAAATTTTTCAGAAAAGTGTCTCCCACCTTCAAGATACATCATCAGAAGGGGGTTTTCTTAGTCTTTAAACAAGAAAATCTAACTCGAGAGACTACTGCAGCACTGCTGTAGGATGTGAGTGGACATGTTTACAACAGATGTAGCTATGCTTACATTTTTAATTTTGGCCAGAGTGGCCCTTTAACTCATAAGAACGTACTCCATGTACTTATGAACAGTCTTGATTAATTTGTACTTTTCTGAGTATTTTCAAATGATCATATCGCTGCTTTCGGAACAAAACCTTGTATCTCCATTTTTGTTGCTTTTCTGTTTTTGATGTAATTTGAAAATCTGTTGGCCTTTACATTGTGTGTAAATTTCAGGATGAATGGACCAAAAGAAACAGCCCAAAATGACTTGGAATAAATTCTGGTTCATAAAGTATGTTTTTTTCTTCTCTTGTAAAATTACCATTTTGGAGATACAAGGTTTTGTTCCAACAGCAACAATATTTACCATCTCAATATTATAGTGAGGAAAGTAAAGTACTTTTAACATTTATTTCGTAATTCTTTTTAGGTTAAATTTTATTCTGTTTTGTTGTTTTGGCCCCAGGACTGTTTTACTGTTGCTCACAACTCTCACCTTGGAGCTTTAGCATTTTATTTTAGGCTAAAAGTATTCAAAAGGAGAAGAATAGAACCTAACAAACCTCAGTTTATATATTAATGGAGGCTAAATGTACCACCACAATTATATAAGGAGCTCAGTACAGATATTTTTTTTAAATCAAGTTTGTTTTTGATATCTACGTTTACTTTGTTATTTTTAATTGCAATAACAAGACTTTTCCTTGAGGACAGTTTTGCACTGATTTTTACAGCAAACCATCCAAAATATCTCATCAGTATAAATCCTTATTTATCACGACCTGCCTGTGTGAAAGTGATTGAGTTTGGCCTCTACAGCTGCCAATATGCTAATATAGATCAATACAAGCAATAGTCATAATCAACCCTTTGCTTAAGGAAAGGAGATCCGGCACCCATGTGCACAAACCTACTTATTGGTCAGGAGAAAGTGTCAGTCAACTGACCAGAGCCCACCCCCTGCCTAAGACCTTCCCCCACTGACCCTTCAGGGCCTAAGAGGCAGAATGGGAGAGTGTATGTGACCTGTCACCTGACCTCTGGGCTAGGGGTGGGATAAGAGAGAGAGCGAGAGAGAGAGGGAGAGGGAAGATTGGGGGATGGTAGAGGAGAGTAGAAGAGAAAACAAGAGCCGTGTCACTCACTGCTTTCATGAATGGGCCTCCCTGTGCTTTGAAACATCCCTCAGAGGGACGATACTGCAATGAGCTTGGACACTGAGCTGGATGGCTGTATGGGCTTTGACTCAGATTAGCTGTTACAGATTCCTTAAGCCTGAGTGACTTTCACACTTACTGAAAAGTTTATCACTTGCTGAGGAGTTTCATTCTTACCAAAGAATATAATCTACCTATGATTAGTGAGAAAAATCCACATGCAACACTATTATTTATTTCTTCTTTTCCTTCTTTTTTTCTTATTGTTCTGCCAGATTTTTATCCTCTAACCCATCCTGCTTTTTTTCTGATATCAACACCGTTGAATGATGGAATGATGTGCTTGTATACAGCTTTTTGAATGGATGGTTTTTATACCATAAACGTTAAATTGTGAGTAAAATGGCAATTTTTTCCCCATAGGAATTCATGTGGGGCAAAAGTTTGTGCTTTCATTGCTTACATCACTTACGTCACAATGATACAAATACATAAGCAACACTCTATTAACCATGTAGGATACCATAGTAGCCACCTAACAACACCAACCACCTAGGACACCACAGCAACCACTTTACAACACATAGCAGTCACCTGGAACACAACTGTGGCCACCTAGCAACACCATAGGAACCACCTGGGATATCATAGCAACCACCTAGTAACACCCCAGCAACCACATTAGCCACATAGCAACACCTGAGTAACTGCCAGAAACACCTTAATGACCACCTGGGATACTTAAGCAACCACCTAGAAATGTCTTTGTAACCACTAACAATACCAAAGAACCACCAAGAACCACCACCTAAAAAAGGTAGGAAACTGTTACTGGGGCTGTACCTCTTGTCACTGGGGTGGTTCCTTCAAGGGTACATCCCAGTACCTTTATTCAGGGAACATAATTGCACCATAATCTATTGAACTGATAAGTTGTATTGACTCCACACACCCCGCCTCGTCTCCAGGCTTTTTATTTTAGTGTTCTGTTTTAAAACTTTAGGTTATGAAAGGTACAAATACGAACTTTTCACCTGGAAAAACTTATTTAACGTACCTTAAAACCACTGTTTACCTTTGAGGGTGATGAATGAAAAATGTACCTGCACAGAACCTTTGTTTCTAACAGTGTAGCAACATCCTAGCAACTACATTGGGTACCATAGCAACCACCTAGCTACACCAAATTAACCATCAAAGACAACATAGCTACCGCTTAGCAGCACCTTACCAGCCACCAAAGATACCATAGCAAGCACTTAGCAGCACCCTAGCAACCACATGGAAATTACTTAAGCTGTGCAATCAAACCGCATTGTGTTCAGGAAATGCTCTTTCTAGTTGTTCTAAATCTCTTCATTACTTTAATAAATGATTATATTAATCTATATTGTTCGAAACTATTAATTTAAAATCACACAAGTGTGGGCAGTAACTAGTTCTGTTTACTTGACCACATGTGCTCAAGCACAATTCTTAGGGATTAGTAAATTTAGACGATAGGCCTAATATTTTTATGTAAGGTGAAGTGAAGAATGTGATCTACTTATTTTTGCTCAGTTTTAATCATTAATATTTAGTTCCTAATTGCTTTTTCTGTTTAAGTTCTTTGTGTTGTGTTCGCGACACAATCTGTACTGCTCTGTGATTGGTCACATTTATGACTTTGTATCTTTAGCATTTTATTTTAGACAAAAGGGGAAAAAAAGCCTAACAGACTTAAAGAGGCAGGAGGTATTAAGAAGTTCCACTGCATTGCTGTAAATTACTCAATCCTTAAACGGCCCATATCCCTCCATAGTCTATACAGTCCACATATGGACACTGAGTCCCAAAAAAACCCACCTTGAACTAAGTATTTTTGTGATGTCAGGAAAACCAACTCATTTAGATACATCTGCCCATTCACAGTACAACAGTTTAGCCCCGCCCATTCACACAAAAGCTATAAAGAGTGTTTCAGCTTAGACTGATTTTTGAATGAGGTACAGTACAAAGCAACCAGTCAGAACAGAGATCAAGTCTTAAAAGCACAGTGACAAAAACATTGTTTAATTCTAAGGGATCAAGTTCTAAGGCTGGAAAATGCTCATGTAAAAAAGAATTATGACCGTTTTGGTGCTTAAAACCACACAGATGTATTATGTGGACCTCAGGGGAAAAAATAAATGCAAGAAAATGCAGAACATGGTAATTTTAAGTAGTTTTATGAGCTCATATTTTTGTGCATTTTAAAATGAGGTGCTATTAAACCAAGAACGGAAAAAAGTCTGTTCTGTCTGACCATGTTGTTTTTTGGGAAGGTACTTACACTTTTACTTCTACTTTAGCCATTATCTGGAATCAAGGACATGAAGACATTGCACATATCTAGCAAACTACATTAAAGATATTACGTCCTACACTCTTAAAAAAGATGATTCTTCAAGGTTCTTTAGTAACAACAAAGGTTTTATTTAGAATCATGAGTTCTGTATAGAACCGTAGATTAATGGAGAATGTGTTGTATGTGGTTCTATATAGCAAAAAAAGGTTCTGCCATTGTAACAAGCTTGTAACATTTTTGGCGCAATATAGAACTATTTTCAAAAAGGTTCTATACAGAACCATATACAACATGTTCTCCGTCAACCTGAAGAACCATTTCACCATGTAAAGACCGATTTAAGCATGAGATGGTTCCATATAGAACCATTCCCTTTACTAAAGAACCCACGAGGAATCTTCTTTTTAAAAAGTGTATAGGCATATTTTAATCAAGTGACACAGTGTTTATAAGAACTAAAGTTTTAGCTCACAGCAGGTCTGTTTGAAGTTTGTTTTGTACTTGGAGAAGGAAACATACTAATGAAATGGATCTGATCAGCTGCAGCAAGTTTTTCGGTGAAGGAAAAAAACAAACAAAAAAAGCAAAAAAAAAAAAAAAAAAACAGGCCCTGCTGTTTAAATGAAATCATGCTAACTGGAAAGCACTAGCTCCCATTCATTATTATAAACATCAGCATGTATGGAAGAACTATTTCTTAAATGAAGAAACGCTGTGTATTATTAAAGTTTGGAGTGAAGCTCCCTCTTCTGGTTGAAAAGCATGTTTACCTCAAAGTCCTTCACCACTTCACTTCACTGCCAGAAGATTAAACCTTCAAAAAACACATAAATAAATAAATCTACACAGATAAGAAGAGACATTTCCATTTATTTATTTTTATTTCTTCCCCAAAATATGTTGCCATAAACACTGGCATGTGACCCGATTAAACCATTATGATTTATATTCCAGATTAAAGGCATGTTTTCTCTTTAAATTAATCAATTTAAAAAAAAAATGAGTTACTTTTAAGGAGCGCCAAAACAGTTTGATCCTCAGGATAAAGGGTAGACTATTCTGTTATAGCTTCTAAATATACAATAAACTCTAGAGTCTAGACTTTTAAGAAAAGCATAAGGATTCACTTAAAGATTTAAACATTTGATCGCTTATACAAGACGACAAGATGAAGGCATTGAAATTTAACAGTCATATAAAGTAGAAGAGCTAGAGAGAGCTAGAGAGAGGGAGAGAGAGAGATAGAGATAGAGAGAGAGAGAAAGAAAGAAATGTGCATACGTTCAGCAATGTTTTCATGTAAACATTTACCCACGTTTGATAAACAGGTGAAGCAGAGGATTACTCCCAAAATCAAACACAAAGATCGAATGATTGAATCACTGGCAAAAATCAACAGTTAAGACTTAAAAGAAGTTCTTTAAAAGAAAAAAAGAAGGAAAGACCCTCAAAAAGTACAAAATTAAAATCAGATATTAAGAGAAAAGTTTAGACTTTAGATCTAGAGTTTTCTAAAGTGGGCCACCGGTAAACAAAGTTAATGTAAACGCAATTTTAACGCGAGTATAAAGAATAAATTACCAAGAACAAGAGAAAAAAAGGACACACGAGTGTCTTAAGTGAATACTGCCACCAAAACCTGAGATGGAGGCAACACAGGTGAACACTTCAATTAAAACACTGCCAAAAGATATTCTCAATATCAACAGCGATATCATGACTTGCAAATTTTTTGTAAAGCCCCGAATCCATAGAACAACTGAAAACGATAGAGCATGTTTTACAGGCTGCTGAAGTGTAAAAATCACTGAAGATATTCTGCAGACAGTGCACCCTTCTCACATCATCATCTGTATATAGAACATACATCAAAAAGCTTACAAGCTTACAAACGTATACAAATGTGCAAGATATAATTCTTTGTGCCGAAATACATACGTTAGAACCTTTTGTGTTCATACATACATAGTTATTTGGACTTGGATGTACGATAGAAAAACTTCATTTTCTGTAAACTTCGTAGATATAAGCTCATGATACAGAGCCTTAAGTAGTAATATCATTCAGGGTTTTCCCTCGACAGGAGAAAATTCAGGCTTCTTCAGACACTGAATGCTTAAACTCAGAGCAGCGTTCCACTGCAACGTTCACAGCAGAACACCCGATCGCTCGAGCCGCCCGCTACACCCGTTTAACTCTCACGCCCAGTCAGCTGGGATCCTGTCTCCATGGTAGCACTGTGGCTGCAGCCAGACAGGTCCTCTCCTAGTCGACCCCGTCGAAGCCCTGCGCGTTCTCTATCGCGATATTCAGCTTTTCTCGAAGCTCCTCAAACGACTCGTATGGAGGCAGATCCAGGCGGTTAAAGCTGAGAGAGAGAGATGATAATTACTACCAATAATAAAATAATTACATTAGTAGTAATAATAATAATAAGAAGAAGAAGAATAATAATAACAATAATAGTGTTAGGAGTGGAAGTAATACTTTTGTTAGCAATATATGTTAATATACTACTACTACTACTACTACTACTACTAATAATAATAATAATAATAATAACAACCTCATTATAAGTAATAAAAATATTATAAATGGCATATTTTGTAGACCTGTAACAATAATATATTATCATGTTTCATATTATAGACAGACTATACTGAGCGATACTCACCATGTGTGCGCTCGGGGCAGTTTGTCCCGGGTGCCCCACTGCTCTATAGTGAATAACTGCGGCCCGTTCGAACCTAAACAACAAACAAAAGCATTCATCATTAAACATTTTTACAAATTAATAATCAATCTCTCACTGCTCCACAGAGCTCGATACTGATCTTTAGAGCTTTTTACTGAGCTTTTGTTCTGTGGTGTCTCCATGCACAGTAGCTACATATGAGAGCAATCAAGAGACATTTATGAAACTTTAAAAAACTTTAACCTCATTAATCTATATAAAACATTAAGTTGTTGCTGACCTTTGTGGGTCAGCATAGCTCTTTTAGTTGTTCCTAAATCATATATTCAAAAGACCATGCAGACTCAACACTCCCAAGTAAGGAGTTTAGTCTATATCAGCAGCAGGCAGTGGCACACTGTAGGTAACGGTCCATGAAAATTACATTTAGCTGTTTTAAAATGAGAAAGAAGACAGAGGGGAGGGACTGACCATAGAGCTCGGCAAAGCCGTTCATTGGCACGCGGGAGGTGCCCGTCACAAACTGGAGCAAGCGAATCCGCTTCTCGGCATCCATCAGCAGAACAGTCTGAGAGAGAGAGGGAAATATAAATCCATTATGGAGCTGATAAAGAAAATCACTTTTACATACTCACCAGAAAGGTTAAAGCAATGCTTCAGCCAAAAAATTGTTTTTAATTCTCTTCTTACTCCAAATGTAGTCAATCAGCCAAGACATATTTGGTGAAATTTGCTTCTCTGGTTTTGCACCTGAGCCAGAACAACTTCAGACACCAAACAGGTATTGGCATATCAACAACGTTGTATATAAGGAGGAAAGCGGCGTTTCATTTTCGGCCAAAACATCGTTTTAACCTGCCTGAAACATTCTAGTGCTGACAAGCCAGAGGCATATCAGCTAGTGAAAGACCAGGGTCAGATTCTATAGTGCAGATAGAGCCATGCTCACCTTCCAGAACCACTGGATGACTGGTTGGTTGGGCCCATATCCATTTTTATACTTGGTGTTCTCTCTCCAGTCATTAACATCCACATCTCCCAAACCACACATCAGCAACTGAGAGAGAAAAAGGCATTATTACATTGTCTTGCAAAGCAAATAAGAAATGTTATTCATCCCTCCACAGCAGCAGTACTCACCTCCAGCTCATTCTCATCAAATATCTTGATCAGATCCTGTGGGATGAGTTCATAAAAGCCCTGTGAGGGATGAAGAGAGACAGAATGAGATGCACAGCTCTGATCCAGAGCTTTGTATTCAACAGCTAGGGTGCTTTTAATGCACAGCTAGGACAGTCTTGGAATATATAAGGCCCATGGGGTCTATACAGCCTTTCACTAAACTTCATTAAGCAACAAGTAGCACTTTTCCTTGACATGAAAAAAAGTCTCATTGAAAATGCTACAGTTTTTAAGCACTGTAGAGCTGCTTTGGGGAGCTGATTTAAAGAAAATAGCATTCAGTCAAAAAAATGCAATCATATTCAGTGAATCATGTGAGTTTACCTCCTTGAAGGCAGTCATTTGCCTCTGAATCCGGTTTACGAATCTCCACTGCATCACAAGGCTGGAAATCAGAACATAGTGTATTACCCATCTGTCAGATCCAGAGTCATTACTCGTGTATAAAATTACATTCTCTGCTAAAATATCTCTGGCCTTGATCAAATTTGGTCATCATGGTCAGATGTTACAGTGATGAATCACTGATAATTGTTTATTAATATCCTTAATAAATAATTAATTAAATTAACCATGTTTGAAAACTCTGCAGTCAAAATGTGCAGATTCTGATGGTGTGTGAGGGACTGGTAGAGCTTACTGGATGTATTCCTTCTTGTTGCTGTCATTGACGATGATGTCAGCGCCCCCTGGCTTCAGCTCATGCTGGTGCGTCTGTGAAAAACAAACAAGCTGTTAAGAGCATGGTCAGTTGAACGCAATAAACACCCAATAACTAACAGCTAATCTGTAAGATTCCCTCCCATTCCCTTCTATTTTTTGGGGGGATAGCACCACTGGCCAGTGTAATAAAGTCAAGTCTGCAAAATTTACAAGACGGTCCACTTTATTTTCAGCTTTTGATTGAGGAGTCATACTGTATGGAAGGTTTTTGCTAAACAATAACAGCTATCCAGCCAGTTTCAGATCTGCATAATGTTTGTGTGTATTAATGAATAAATGAATGAATGAATGAATGAATGAATGAATGTTGTTTAATGTGAAGTGGCTAATTGTAGAGACACTTGCTGACTCAGATTTCTTTACAGTGGCGGTGACAGGAACCAGGGGTCACAATGTCTTCAACACAAATATAGTCGTTTTATTTACTATCCAGGATATTCATAACCATTTCATGAAACAAATTTCTGTGAGGGAGCATTTAAAAGCATTACACTCTTCAGACATCTGGTTTCTATCACCACCACAGTAAACAATTCTGACTTGCCAAATTCTCTAGAATGGACAACTTTACATCAAACCGCTTTGAAATTCTTGTTTACATCTTAACCATTTAATAACATTTTGAAAAATTGTCTGGATGTCCCTATAATCAAACCTTGATCTCAACCCATTATCGAAAAAAAAAAAACTTACAAAACTGGTCTCAGATCAGCCATACCTGTCCAAAGAGCTCTTCATCGATGGTGAACCGGAGGTCCAGATCAGCAGGGGTCATTCTCCAGGATCCATTTCAGAGAGTTAAAGTATTCGCTGTCCTGCAGTATCACACACACACACAAATATTTCAGTGAAATAGTACTGTTATGCAACAAAGTGTAACACTAAAACTGTAAAATGTACTTTATTCCCCAAATTCCTTCATACGTCACACTATGAGGAAGTAAAACAATGATGATGCAAAGTTAAAGCTGATGTTGACTGGTTATGCAGCCCTGTCACTCACCACAGATTCCATATCCTGTAATGTGATTGGCTTCTGTAGCATCATCTTGTAGAATGGACGAATGAAGAATGCTGTGAAGGACAAATAATAAATAAATGAATAAATAACACAGAAAACTAGTTAATTACACTACAGAACAAACATCTGGAAACAAAAATATCTTATTATCATCAGCCATGAAGACCATGAAGGTCTAGAGTACAGCACTGCAAACTGAAAAAATTATTTGGTTAAGTTACAGTGGCCCCAAAATTGTCTAGAAAAAAAAATTTGCCAACCACTGGTAGTGAGAACTAGTAGAGAAAGTAGAACTCCAACTAGACTGCTCTAAGGCTACTACCATAGAGGTGGGCTGTTTTTCTTACAGAGCTGTCTCTGAGCTTGTGTTCATCGATAGGATCATGAACTCAGAAGCATTCAAAGATATTCTCGTGCAATGAACTTTATAAATTTATATGTATGGCCTAAATGTCCAAATATGTTTTGGAGCCAGTGTATATGTTGGTAGTTGACTGATTTAAATGAAAAAAACAGCTTGTTTCCCTATTTCGGAAATATGTTGCGTATATCAAATGCCAATATTTTTAAAGTAGCAAGCCTCCACCAACCATCCAGGAGCTTCCCATGGTAGACAGCCATCCCTGCGACACGCCCGATGAATTTGAAGTAAGAGAGATGATCCTCGTTGCAGAGGCCTGAGTTGGGGTTGATCTGTAGTGTGTAGTTATCCCTGCAAAACCACCAGAATACACTTTGAATCCATCCATTCATTCATTCCTTCATTCATTCATTCATTCAGATCAAGGTTATTACAGTTAACTAAAACTATTACTAAATGAAAACAAGCAGTGAAAAAAAAAGTTTCCAAAAACATGAAAACTAAATCAAAATAAAAACGTCCACTGCAAACTGAGAAAATTGAGAAAAAAACCTTTTTATTTTTCATTTTTTCAGTGTGTAAATGAGAGTTCAGAAGCAGATCCCTTCTGTGTTTGACTGTCTTTAATAAAAGCTTAACCGAGCCGGCCTCAGTCTACTGCTGTGCTAATTTTATTCTACTCTTATCAAAAACCACTACCACAGCGTTCATCATAATACTAAAAACTACAACTAAAACTACATAAAAACTAAAATTTACACTGTTCTCAGGATAAAAACAAAAATAGAACTATTCCTGTACCCTTAAGACTAACTGAAACTAATCTGAAATAAAAACCAAAAGGAAAAATAAATAAAAAAAATAAATAAAAACTAGTGAAAATTTTACTATTCTAACCCTGATTCAGACCTATTTAGAGGTGTGGCAAAAGACATTTATTCTGAAGTACATCAAGTAAGTCATAAGGTAGTCATAAAAATTCTTGGTTATGAATAAAAATTTTACATTCAACTTGATGAGGAATTAGAACATTCTTTTAAGAAGCAACTCAAAGTGGTTTGACGATTATGATTATTTGTAGAGAAACTTGCTAAATCAGATTTCTTTACAGTGGTGGTGATAGGAACCAGGGGTCACAATGTCTGCAACCATTTTATTTACTATCCAAAACCACCAGTGAACCTACATGTGTCTTCTGATGTTAAATATGTAATACTGATGATAGCAAAACAGTGATTATAATCTGATTAAAAAAAAATAAAAAATAAAAGTAATAAAAAGTTTTCACTGGGGACAATTTTGCCCTATCTTTCTGACAGGAATGAAAAAAAAAAGTTTAGCCAGGTCCTTCTGTTAACGATAGGTGCCTCTGGCACATATTTTGTATGAAGGCTTTCTCTAGATAGTTGAAGTGGCACTGGATGTTTTGCAGATTATACCTAGTCCCTGGCTATTTTAATCTGCACTCAGAAACTGCTCTTCTCAAATTAAAACCTACTTACGTGGCAGAGTACTCAAACAGCCCATAATATGGGTTGAACATCTCTTTGGAGATGAGGAAGAACCACTCTCGGGCCACGCCTCCATAGTCCAGCCCCTTCTCTCCTGCAAACTCAATCCAAAGGCGGGCCTTCAGTAGGTCAGTCCGCTTTATGGACAGAATGCAGCGGTACGAATCCTCTAGCAAAGCGTTCCGCCTAACTGACATCTCGAAACGATTGGGGATGTCCGCCTGGAAGAGGGGAGAAGGAAAAAAGAATGAAAGGAGAAAGAAACATGAGGTTGAGAAGCATTTAAACCTACAATCCATTTTGACTAAAATTGATTATTTTTAGCATATGAAAACGGCAATAATAATATCACTGAAATTAATAAAAAAGGACCTTACTGGTTTCTTGAGCTTCTTGCGGAAATACTCATACTTCTGCTTGTAGTCTCTGGAGTAAGGCACAGCCTAGAATAAAACAGTAAAACCACAAGTTGAAGTCTGATCTAATGGCTGTGCTATGTGTTTTAGGCAAAGAATAAACTTCGCCTGCATCTGGTGCTTTAAGACTAAATCATTCAGTGTTTCCTTTGATTCAGGCCTTTGTGTGTGATAGAGCAGGCAAAACGTTCTCCTGGAGAGCAGGTAAAGTAACGCTGGTCTATACTGCCAGTGAAAACCTATCATTAAAAAATCCCCTGTAACACATGTCTGTGTTTGGGGCAGAGTCTATTGCCTCTGTCACACATGCACTTTTTTACCCTTTAATTTTACCATAAAGGGTTAAGTGTGAACGCAAGCCGGAATCAAAAGCCTGGTAAAGTTGACCCATCAGTTTACCTGGAGGAGACCTGGTACAATACTCAGGAAATTAATGAAAGAAGTATTTACAAGAAGAAAAAGTCACACGAGTGCATTTTTGTACATGATTTATAAATGAAGGAGCTACTAGCTGTTTATGCTGAGAACATCAACTCGTGTTTACCAGGATTTTCATGTTATAAGCACATGCATTCCAATAAAATACCGTTTAAGGGCTGCATATGTGAATGACGTGCAGCCCGAACATTACTTGTAGAAGCATCCTGATAATGTGTTGGGTTTTGAGTGGGAAAGAGGATTATGTTTGGAGGAAACTACAAATCCCAGCACTTACTGGTCCAGTAATGGCAGAGTTCTGGAGTCTGGGGTCTTCCCACTGTGTGGTCTTGGTGTCTGTGGAAAAGTAGAACCATTTCATTATATCCTTTCTATAGTAACATCTCAACAGGTCAGCTAAGTGTAGTCTATCTCATGCTGTTTACATGTCTTAGAGAGGATGAGAGCTTACTGTGGTCGATGTAGAAGATTCTTCCATCACTGTGAATTCTCTCCTCCCAGCCAGGCTACAGGAGACAATACACAAACACAATAATTAAAAATTAATTATGAACAGTCTAAAACATACAGTGTCCCACTCTTTCTGCTTGTTCTAGGTTGATTCTAACCTACCGGAAGTGGGCCAAGGTCATTGGGGTCTAGTGAGGGCCGTCTCCTCATATGAGCTGGAATCTTCAGCCGGGGGTCTTCCTGTATGCACAGAGAAAATGGGGAGGCACAAACAGTGTCATTATCTTTCATTGAGCCGTGTTTTAGCAGGCTACTATACAAGCTGGTGCAACACATGGAGCATATTTGGCTCGTAGCTGGACAGAAAATCACGAACACAAATGCATCTCGCTATTTGTAGGTGGGTTTACAGTAAATCAGTCTCATCAGACATGCGTATGTGATGTACACCTGCATATGCACACCATTATGCCACTATGGCAACTTTATATTGTCTACTATGCCATTGCTCTTACCCATGTGGTGGTCTTGGTGTTGTGGTCTATGAAGAATGGGCGTCCGTTTGGCGCACTCCGCACCTCCCAGCCTGCGGGCATGCAGCCGGCATACTCGAAGGTGTGTGTGTGAGCATGCGGACCGGGCGAGTGCTGTGGGCCGGGCGAATGCTGTGGGCCAGGTGAATGGTGTGGACCAGGTGAATGGTGGGCTCCGGGAGAGTGTAGGGGGGCGGGTGAGTGCAGGGGCGAGGCGTCAGACGAAAGTAGAGGCGGGGCGTAGATCGTGGGGCTCTGACAGCGGTATCCTGTAGCACCTCCTGCCCCCGTCGCACCTGCCTCAGACGGCTGAATCAACTGCAGGAGAGAATTCAGACAGTTCTCACTGTTACCATAGCAACAAGAACAACCTACACACAGTCTGAGTACCGTATAGGGAATGGCTCACTTTCATGAGTCAACTAGTACTGAAAAAAGAATTCAAGTAGCTGGCATTTATCAATAAAATAAGGTCCAGTAGCAAGCAATGTTATCTGGCATTTAGAAGTCCCAATGAATTTTATTAACTGTTTTAACAACACTGAATATTAACAAGTTATTTTCAGCTTAAAACCAGCATTTAAGCACTTGGAGTTCTTCCAAAGTTCTTCCTACCTTTAAGAAATATCATTAGAAGGGATTTAACTTATTTAAACTACAGCCTTCCTTTAAGTGGTCAGTAGACATGTTTACAACAGATGTTGTGATAGTAACATGCTTCATTTTGGCCAGAGTTTTCCATCTTTACTGAGATTATATCAGAAGCATTCAACTGATTCAATAAATGAGGCTGCTTGGAGTTGCTGATCTAGGTAGTGTAGTTGATATTTTAACTAACTGATTATGCTAAAAGCTTGATCTAACATTAAACCTGTGAGACTCTTCACCTCGTTTTTTAGTCACCGTCTATGTGGCTGTGATTTGCTTGAAAAATATACCTGGACGAGAGGCCGGGTCCAAGTGGTGGTTCTGCTGTTGTGGTTGATGTAATAAATTCTGCCTTTACTGTCCTGCTTCTCTTCCCAGCCAGGGGGCAGACCTGGGGTAGTGGGCAGCATCTAGGGAGGGAGGGAGAGAGAGAGGACTTTAATAGAAGAATTCATGTAGGTTTAAAAATAGGACTCTTGCTTCAGGGTGAGATATGACTCGTAAGTGTGTAGTTTAAACAAAATAATTTTAAAAATCTATATTTACAAGCAGTTACAAACATGCCTCCCTTCTTCACCCCTAATAAATAAAATACAAGTACAAATATACTCTTTGGCATAATTAAATGGTTAAGATGTAAACAAATGCATTCAGGTGTAAAATGCTCTGTTTTAGAGAAACTTAGCAAGTGCAATTGTTCACAGTGGTGGTGATAGGAACCAGAAGTGTGAAGAGTTTAATTTTCTTTACCATAATCAACATTACATATTAAAACCTTTAGTAGAAAAGGAGAAGAAAAGGAATTTTTAGGACAAAATTTTGAATGTTACTAGCTGGACTCACCACAGGATGGACTGGGTGCTCCTCTACGGTCAGCATCTGGGCACTCCCTCTCCGACTGCCATGACCCTGCGGCTAAAACACAAACACATACGCATGGATTCACAAATTTGCTTTCTTAGTGTGAATCACTGTCCATTTTTAAACACAAGTAAATGAGATGAAGAAACTGCCCTGCTAGGTCTCCCGTGGTGTATATGCCTTGAAACACCTCTTCTTACATTTAGTTTCAATTTCATTCAATATTTTAAGAATTCTATAAACAAGAAAAACACTGACTGTAATATGGTATACATCACTGTGATATACTGTAATGATCTATTTATGTTTTTTTCCTCTCTACTTGTGAAATATAATGAATTCTAGATATTAATTTTATAATAACTTAATAATAAGTTTTAGAATCTTCCACGGCTCTGTATATCATTTCTTCATCATTTACAGCTTTCTAGTGTCCTGCTAATTATTTCAAACTGTGAAGGGACATAGGATAGTATTTTAGAATCATTTTATACATTTATTTTGCAACCAAACTGGTTTTATTTTATTTAAAGCATTTTTAAACTTTTAAATGCCTTTTGAATGCAATGTTTACATGTGCAATGTGTGTATGTGCAAATAGCTAATATGTGATATGTGATCTGCAATAATAATAGTTTTGTGTGTGTGTGTGTGTGTGTGCTCACCGTGAGTGAAGTGCGTCTCTCATTGCCGGTCTGCAGTCTGCAGAACTCCTCACAGAAAGAAGTGTATTCCAGTGGGGAGTGGGGAGGAGGAGGGGAAATCTGGCTCTGACTACTGTACAGAGTTCCATCATCCTCAGTGATAATCTCCCAGCTCTACACACATACAGACACACATACACACCATTGTGAATGCAGAACAGAAACATGGAACAGCTGTGCCAACTGTGCAGATGTTAAAAATCCCAGGTGTATGTTCACATGCAGATGTGCTTATTTATGTGCATTTATGTGCATATACATTTGTATACACATACCTCAGGCGACTCTCTGCGGTCATTGCTCTCCTCATGTTCAGAGATCTGTCTTCGTGTGATAAATGGGTGCTGGGTGTGAGTGCTCTGCCTCTGCTCTGACTCTCTCTGTGCGTCCCTACAGCACAAATTTAGCACAGTAAAGTAAATAAATAAACACACACCTGTTTCCCCTCAGGTACTGACATTTTTTTGTCAAATTTTGTATTACTAATCTATACCAGATTTTCAAAAAATATTCGTCTTTTACTTAAACAGTATCAATGTCAAGACATATTCCACCTGCAGGGGGCAGCCTTACATCATAAGCACGCTGTGAGACACCCATATTTGTACAGCGTCTCACAATAAGATTTAAGAATAGGAGAAATATGCACATTGGCCCATTCGTCATGATATTTTGACATAACAGAAAAGGCAACTGGCATTTTAAAGTCATGTGAAAAAAGAAAAAGACACCAACAATATATCAGGGATTACATATTTGGGACAAGCACATTAATAAACCTAAAGGCAAATGTGCCAGTTTCCACTATCTGGCTCATTTTCAACTGTAACCTGACTTTATAAAACTTTACTTATTTATATGTAATGCGATAATACAAGTACAAGTTTACATATTGAAAATTTTAAAATCTGGTGTCTGATTTGGGCTGAGAGCAGCAGAAAGGTCTGGATGGGATGTTGGAGGATAAAAGAATGAATGTGATCCAATCCTGAAACACATCTATGCTGAAATCAGGGGTGGGCAGTATGAATATGGGATTTTCTGAGCATATTGTGGATCTCGTCCATACTTAAAGAACACTGACCGACTGCATGTTTCATTCAAAGAAGAGCATAATTAGTCTTCTTTACCTGGATTAGTGCAGTGCAGTATGTGTAACGCTGAACAGAAATCAATGTACCCAGAGTCTATGATGGTAGATCTACATGTAGCAGTGCTAGGCATTGTATCTGTTTGTCAAAATATTGTAATTAGTATCGTGTATCGTGAAAGTGTCTGTAAGTACTGTGATGTTATATTTTTGCCATATCGCCTAACCCTAGATGAAACAGCACACTGTGTGATGTGATGTTGTTAGCTGTGTTGTTATTCCTGAGAGGTTCGTAGTGTATTTGAGTAGTTAAAGTATAATTACGTATAATATTTTTTGGTGCTCATCTTCAGTGAAGTGTTTCAATTACTTAGTTTAGCTGTTTTTAAACAAGAAATGTCTGATGAGTGTTGGTCAATACTGAATATTGAATTCAGTGAAATGTCTAATGAGTGAATATGTTTATCAGATAATACATCAGATAAATAAATCAGTGGTACTGTGCCATCTCTATAGATAAACCATTACTAGCATATTTCACACCAAGGTCAAGTCCATGCATACTGGAGCTTAGCTGAGTAACTGCATGGTTACCCAACTCACAAAAAGAATATAAAACTTTGGTGCAATCTTTTTAGGAATCTTCTATGATTATGTTTACTCTGTGTTAGTCAGACAAATAAATAACTTAAATAAATTACTGCAACATACACGCTGTCTATGTGACAGCAGTTAGTAACGCACTCCCTCTCACGTTCTGTTCCTCAAATAAAAACTGCTCGTTGGTCTTACTGCATAGTGGGTCTGTGCCACTGTGTGGTCCGGTTCTCGTGGTTGACGTAGTAGGTGCGTCCCAGGTTGTCCTGCCTCTCCTCCCAGCCAGGGGGCAGGGCAGGCAGCTGGTGAGGGTGGCGCGGGCCGCACATCTCCTGACTCTCCAGGAACTCCCAGCTGGGCTGCAAAAACAGAACAACCATCATTGAAATGGCATCATAAAAAACAGTTTGGCAAAAAAAAAGAAAGCTGTGCCCCCCAATTGTATTCAATTAGACTAGACATTAAGTGTCTGATGTTTGCTTCTTTAGTCTGTGCTGCAGCTATCTAATGTGGCTCACAAGTAATGAAATATGGTGCTAACAGCATGCCTAAATCATCACACACTCACCACACTGAGTTGTAATCTCCAATAGATTTGCTAATTTGGTTTCTGGCACTGTATAACATACTGTTATCTACTAAAATGCACAAAACCTCAAACTACATAATTACTTGACAACTTGACACAGTTTGAAGCAAATGTCTGATGATTCCAGCATGTAGTTTGTGCTAATTGGTGGGGTATAACCTTCCATTACTTGTTAGCCACATTAGCTTTATAGCTCCAGTGCAAACTTTAGACTCCAAACAGGTCTACAATTGGGGAAGGGAGAAAACAGTCATTTAGATTTAACAACAGACCAGCTCCTTTAGAACAGGATTTGTTGAACAGGTGGCCAGGCTCTAGAACTACAGGTGATGTTCTAGAATCGCAGTTCTAGAATTTCATTATTAGCTATTTAAATAGATAATTAAATGGCACTGCCGCAATGGCACTGAAATCTCAGTTACGCAACAGAGCAGTCACCCAGTGCACACCCCTGAAGGAGTTAAGCAGTGGGGTCTAGCTTTGCTAAGCCAGGCAGTGGATTCTCCCCCAGAGGCCACAGTCCCAAATATAGTTTTGGACTTAGGGACATGGTGTGCTCAAGGTGGGAGATTCGATTAAACCCTGTACAGGAACGGTGACTCACTGTGACTCAGTCAGCGAGCTCCAAAAGCTTTTTCAGCTTTTTAACTGTAAGCAGTCCCTCTTGAATGATTCCTGCTTAAACTGCCTTGCTCGCTCTATTTATCACATATGACAAAGTAGAACCTACTGAATAGGACTGAGATGTTTATTAATTCCAAGAACTGTCTGAGGTGAGAGCTAACAGAACTGAAACTCTCAAAACAGGACTGGAAGTTGCATTATGGTCTAATTTCTCGATTAAGTATAGTTACAATGGAATAATGATAAAGGCCGGTACACTTTTTTTGCCCCCGCTCCTGATCAGAGTTCTTCAATGCAAAGGGCCCAATGTACAAAGCTTTTTTGCGGCAGTTTTGGAGTGCATTCTGCCTGCACGTTATGTTATATGGACTATGTACATAAAAAAAACTTTTTTTTATGGTTTATGAGAAAGTACTGGTTGGAAAGAACTTCATTTATTAACACCGCTATCTCTTTGTCACTGAACTTTCACATTCTGTTTTGTCTCAAGCTTGACTGCTAATTTTGTGCATTTTAAAGCCTGCTCCTCACGAGTGAGCGGTTAATAGGCGCTCCTATGTCAACATAGTCAAAAAACTGGCGCTGCAGACATTACAAACAGCAGTTGGCCTGTTTTCAGTATGGTCAGCATGAACTGCTTTAAAACAGTTTTAAAAATGCAGACATTTAAACTGCTTTGTTAACTTCTGAAAATGTGCCTGCAAGTTATGTTCATTTACATGGCCTGTACTACCATGTCGTAAATGCGCAGTGGGATAATCAAGCCTTAAAAGTGCCTATTATCCCCTGCACCCCCCGAGGTCCACTTACGAGGTTTATGTAGGTTTATCTACCAAAACAGCCATAATTTGTGTTTACATGACCATTTTCCAAATCTCTATTCCTTAGTATTAAACAGGCTTACTGTACTGTCCTTTAATACTGTGACCTAAAGACTGATGTACGTAAATGAACTCTCTGGTGTTGCTTTTTACAAATCAATTAAAAATGGGCTGTTTAGTTTCCAAATGTGGACTGAATATTTTGAATCTTTTACAATGTTTACATACAACATTAAATTCTTGTGGATGCTGGAGAATTATGGGTTTGGTGCTCATGTTTTTAGGCTATTTTAATTCTAGTTTTAGTTCTGGGTGTGAAAGTTCGTTGAAATATCAAGGTCCTGGGCAGATAAAAGCGCTGCATCAAAGCACAGAGCTCATTCAATGACACTGCGGCAAATGACAGAGTGTCACGGTGGTGTGAGGGTATTAATCTGTAAATGATGTAATACGAAACAGTTCTTAGGTGCTCAGGAGACTGTAGTTCTGACCAGAGGAAACCTGAGCAGATCTGGTTCCGTGCGCAATTTAGACTTCTAGGAAATGGTCAGATATGATCAGATATCTAATCTGGGAGGAAAAATAAGAGAAGCATTATGTAATCCAAGGAAGTATCTTACATCCAGTTCCTCGGTCTGCTCGGCCTGCTCCTCCTCCGAGCCGTTCTTGGGCAGGTAGGTCATTTTCAGCCGCAGGTGACCTTTGACCCTCGACTTGTGGCTGAACATACAGAAATGGATCAAAATATTAAGTGCGGTAAGAGGAAAATGTGAAGAAAAATCTGTTTATGCTTTAGCAAGGAGATAAAACAAGCCACTACAGTAAGGCCTCTGAAAGGTCACATTGTTAAAGGCATTCTGACTACTAGCCTAGTCCCTGAGCTATAGGCTAATAAACACAACCAAATGTGCCTTATTGTAACACAGGCCTCGGTTGCTGGACAAATTCATAAAGAAATCAGTGATTCTGTCTTTATTCAGCACAAAACTGACGAGTTTATTATGCTTTCAGGCAGAAAAAAGCCAAACTGAGATAACTACCTTGCTAACTTTACTTTCTACGTATTGTTCTCCTCATCTGATGAATCATTTCTTTTGTTTGAACAATCCATTCTCTCCACTGTAATAGTGACAGGAAGACGGCTACTACAGTTATATGACTGTGACAAGATAGTCTGCTTCCCAGCATTAACATCACCTATGTAATTTCCTTCTGCACTTACCAGCTAATGAAATAAATAGTAATATAAAAAAAAATCAAAGCATCTCACACCCAAATGGTTGTATTTATTATACTCAAGATACTCTATACAGTCAAAAGTTTGTGTACACCTGATTGTCACACCTATATGTGCTTGTTGGACATCCCATTCCAAAATATTGATATAGAGTCGTCCCCCTTTGTGGCTATAACAGCCTCCACTCTTCTGGGAAGGTTTTCCAAAAGATTCTGGAGTGCTTTCAATGGGGTTGAGGTCAGGGCTCTGTGCAGGCCATTGGAGTTCCTCCACACCAAACTTGTCAAACTATGTCCTTATGGAACTCGCTTTGTGCACAGGGGCTCAGTTATGCTGGGCCAGGAAGGGGCCTTCTCGAAACTGCTGCTCCAAAGTTGGAAGCATATAATAGTCCAAAATCTCTTTGTATGCTGTAGCATTAACATCACCTTTCACTGGAACTAAGGGGCCCAAACCCTGAAAGAACAGCCCCAGCCTATTATCCCTCCTTGACCAAACTTGACTGTTGGCACTATGCATTCCAGTAGGTAGTGTTCACCTGACATTCATCAAACCCCTTCCAATTGTCCATCTGACTGCCAGATAGTGAAGCTTGATTCATCACCCCAGAAAACACATTTCCACTGCTCCAGAGTCCAGTGACTGTATGCTTTACACTTCTCCAGACGATGCTTGGCACTGCACATGTGATTGTGTGCTTGTGTGCAACTGTTCAACCATGGAAACCTATTCAAAGGCAGTTTGGAATTCTGTAGTGAGATCTGTTTTGCTTCTAGAAGGTTCTGTTTCACAATAATAGCACTTGACAGCACAATAATAACAGTTGACCAGGGCAAATCAAGCAGGGCAGAAATTTCACAAACTAACTTTAAAGTCACTAAGCTCTACAGTACGACTCATTCTGCTGCTTGTCTTTGTCTATGGAGATTGCGTGGCTGTGTCCTTGATTTTATACACGTTAGCAATGACTGTGGCTAAAACACGGAACACAAAAATAAAGAGGGGTGTCCACATACTTTTGGACATGCAGTGTGCATCATCAGAAGGAGGTTTCCTAATCTTTAAACTGGAAAAAACTGCATGTTTTATAACAGATGTAGCAGTTGTTAGAATTTTCACTTTGACCAGAGTGTCCCTTTACTGACCAGTTCTCAATTAATGCAGCAATGAGACACAAGCGAAAATATCTTCTTGTTAAACAAACAAACAAAAAAAGTAACAATGTTGCCAACCTTCTCGGATGCAGAAGAAAATCCTTGAATGTGTAGGGCCTCTCACTGCCCGGCGCTTCTGTCTGGAATAACAAAGAAAAGCTCATTTCATATATATATGTATATATTTAGACAGAAACAGCATCATACAGCCAAACTATAAACCTCATCAACACAGGCGCGTGTCCGAGCGTGTGTGTAAATATTTATGACCGTGTTGATAATGGCCACCACAAGCATGATGGAAGGTGTCATTTACACAACAGCGTCCAGCGCTGTACATCAAGCTGGCCTAAATAAGGGCCTTAGCATTCCGCTGGCAGATGGAAATATGGTCAGAAAGATCCTCAAACAAAACACATTTTTCAACATCGTCTGGCTGAGGTTTCGCACAGCAGGAGGGGATTTTTGGTTTGTTTTCATGAAAATAAATTAAGAACTAAAATTATGAAAAGATAAAATCCAGACTACAAACACTTAACTGGACAAAACCTCAAACAACATGCACAGATTGAATTCCTGAATCACAGACCACTTTTAAAGCCATAGTTTGGGAAAAAATCTAATTTTCCCTCTCTTATCTTAAATGTGGTCATCAGCCAAGACATGTTTGGTGTCTGATGTTTGCTTCTTTAGTTTTGCCTTGCAGCTGAGGCTAATGTAGCCAACAAGTAATAGAAGCTTATACCCCAGTAGCACATTGCTAACTGCATGTCTGAATGATCACACTTTTTGCCTCAGTGTGGAGTACAAAGTACAAAGCACGGCTTAAAACAGTAGCAGCAGCAAGGTCGCCAGGCCCAGCTGAGTTTTAGTCTAGATGCATTTCACTTTTTGAAGTGGATAGTCATTCACTAAAGTCATTCCAGTCCTGTCATTGCACTTCTCGTTCTTTCGTTCTCTCTCTCTCTCAAGAGTCTTCAATTGTGATGCTGAGTCTCAAACAGTGCAACATACTAAATAGCATGTCAAATTAGTTAAAAACGAATTAGTCAGACAAAAAACAATTACTGAACTGTTGTAAAACTGCAAAAACACACTAGAAAAAATGCAAAAGTTTGAACAGCCCTGGTCAAATGACGTTTTGTTGATTTTCGAAGTGAAAATAAGTCAACACATCCTAAAATAATAAGTTAACCGCAAATAAGTTAACCACAAAGAGCACACCTAAATATTTTAATGAGATCTGCAAATTAGTGTAATTTATGTTTATTTGCTGAGTTTAATATATTGGGAAAAATCATAAAATATAAAATGTGCCATAACTTTTACAAAGGCCACATTTTATATTTTATTTTTTCCCCACTATTTTAAATTAATAATAACCACATAAATAGCAATTGTGCATTAAAATGCACAATTAGAGAGGTTCTCTGTTTTGCCTAGAAACTGCTAGCATGCTGTCAAAATCAGACCCAAGGCATATTTTTGTGTCAATGCCGTCAGTGAAGTGTGCAGGTGGTGTGAAAGGCTACGCTGATTAGTTACCGCGTCTGGTGTGAAATGGCCTTAGTAGCAGCCATCTTGAAGCCTGAATTTTGTCCATTTTTGATGCAGTCTGAAGTGAGTGAGTGATGATTTAGGCATGCAGTTTGCACAGTGCTAATTGGTGCATATAAGCTTCCATTACTTGTTAGCTACATTAACCTCACAGCTCCAATGCTAAAACTACAGAAGCAAACTTCAGACCCCACATATATCTTGGATGATCTACTACGTTTAGTGTAAGGGAAGAAAACTGTAAATTTGAAATTCTCCCCAAACTATCGCTTTAGCAACAGTATAAAGAAATGAAAGAGCTGCCACTGTTTGAGAGGACAGTGTCTGCAAAATGTGATATCTGTCTGTGAGTAAAACTGAGTGTACGTGTGTTGAGTGCTGTAACTCACTGGTATTTGGTGCAAAGGAACATCCACTTGCCCCAGGAAGTCATCTCGTGTCTGAAGAGGGAGAAAGAAGACGGAAAGTTTAAAAAAGTAACAAGCACAAAAAGTCTCTCACATGCACACTGCACACGGGCACACTGAGGCTCCTCTTTTCCTGGAACGACAGAAGCTGACCTGCTGCCCCTCATGCTGGTGACTGTCTATTTTTCAAACTATTCTATGAACTGCTGTCTCCACAGCCCAAACTGCAACTCTCACACGAGGAACCGTTCCACGTATCGTCTGTCCTATCACCTGAACATAGTTTTCTGCCTGTTCTATGAAATGCAAAGCTCTCCAGCCAAAGCTGTAGACGTTTCATCCACATTTTCAGATGCATGTTTCAGTAGTGCTGCAAGAAATGCTCAATACATTTTATAATTCAAATCTGAAAACGACACAGCCATTCAAATAACTGAGTTCTTTCATCAAGGCAAAATGTTTTAATTGGTCCAGTGGGAAACAAAGTTTTGTTTATCTAAATCATAGAAATTCACTAGTAGCATGTCATACACAACTGTACCCCAAAATAACACACCACCAATACAAGCACATTCATTAGTATAGTATATATGATATGCATAGTATGGTACATTCTTAAAAAAGATGGTTGTTTTTTTTAAGAGTGTATTGTAAGTGGTTCAAATGAAAATCTGCCCACACGTCATGCTGGACATTTTGCATGTTGGCAGTTTTTAGCCACACTGGGTGACGAAACCCATGAGAAGACGCCATCATCAGAAGATACTTCATTTCTAACTGCCCGTTTTAGGGCTCTAATTTGACGTATTTATGGAGTCGGTCTTAAACAATATTCCTCAGATTTTTCACAATTTCTGATTGATGCAGTCAATGACATGTAAACAAAGTCATTCAGAGCAGTTCAATGTGAAATGGTTCATTGTAGAAACTTGCTGACTCAGATTTCTTTACAGTGGTGGTGATAGGAACCAGAGGGCACAATGTCTTTAACACAAATATAGCCATTTCATTTACTATCCAAAAGCACCAGTGAACCTTCACGCGTCTTCTGAGTTCTTCTGATGTAATGTTAATGATGGTAAAATAGTGGTAAACCTGGGGGATAAAAAACAATACAAAAAAAAAACTATTTTGCCTCACAACGCCCTGTACGCACTGCTCCAGCATTACTAGATTTTAAATATACAAAACTCTCTTTACAACAATGTAAAATACGGTCTCCAACGTCAGGCAGTGTATGGAGAGCCTATCTGGTTCCTATCACCACCACTGTCAGCAACTCAAAAAGTTTCTGAGAATCGGCTGAATTCCACTTTCTAAATTTCACTTTTGCACATTACATACATATATACATAAAAGTGAATTTAGAGAGGCACAAAAATTCAACTGCTGCAGAAAATTCATCCTACAAAGTAAAACATCTTTCATTGGGTGTTTTTTTACCAAAAATAATAATAATAGTGATTACAATAATAACTGAAGATCACTGTTGATTACCATTTTAACTTAACTAGGTTTATATGGTCATTACAGCTAGTTGTGATGGTGTTGCCCTGATAGTTCTTTGGTATTCTAGCTTGTTAGGGCATTGCTTGGTGGTTGTTAGGTGGTTACTAAGGTGTTGCTAGGCTGGTCTTATGGTATCCCGGGTGCTTGTTGGGGTACTCTTAGGCTATTGCTATACTGTTCTTTGTGGCTGCTAGGCTGCTGCTACGCTATCCCAAGTGATTGCTTAGGTGTAACTAGGCCATTGCTTATCTATCCCTGGAGGTTGCTAAGCTGTTGTTAGGCTGTTGCTATGCTATCCTAGATGGTTGTTGAGGTGTTGCTAGGCCATTGCTATGCTATCCCAGGTGGTTGCTAATGTGTTAACAGGCAATTGCTATGGTATCCCAGGTGGTTGCTAAGGAGTTGTTTAGCAGACACCTTATGCAAAGTTTTGAGCTAAACATGAAACTGCAAGTTTTTGTGGTTTTAGCTTTAGAAGGAGTAGCACTGCCATTTTTACCAGAGAATAATAATAACAAGAAAACAAAGAACAGTAAGTTGGCTTTTTCAAGCCAACTTTATAATAATAATAATAATAATAATAATAATAATAATAATAATAATACAATTATTTGAACAGACCAAAGTTCATTCATTTTTTAAGATGCAATATTAATAGTAAAGGGAAAGGGCCGGGTTGCATGGATTGGAGGGTGGAATGCTTTTGAAACAGTAACTTAGTAAGAGGTTTGCATGTATGGCCATGTTTGCATTTGCAGTGATGGAAATTTTGCACATTTCCAGATGTACAAACAAAATATAGAAGGTTTCTATATATAAATATAGAAGGCTTCATTTACTGAATTCAATGACTGGGAAAATGTTTGCAAACCAAAATATATCCAGTTTTAGAGCTGCACACACCGCCTATGAAGGAAGAAAAAGACTACAGGCAGGACGAGGCCAAGCTGGACATTTTGTTTTTGGAACAAAATTTTCAAACTTTCCCAGCTGCAGATATACTTTCCAGTGGCTGCCTCTGGCATCTCGTCTCAGAACTATCTGCGTAAACCTCTCAGCAGCTCCACGCTATTATTAAACACCAATTTAGCCATTTGTTTTCTGCCATCGTCAAAATGGGCTTGTGTTATAATAGTGTTAGCATGTCGCTCTGGCACAGCCTGCAGGTTGCTCCACTTCAAGAAGTCTCTCTTTGTTCTCTCGGTATCACACACTCTCTAAAAACGAACTAGTCGTACACTAGCAGAGCAAACTGGCACAACACGTTACACAACACACGTCTATTATTTCCCCAGGAAAAAATAGGCCTTTTTCTTAGGTTTAACCGGAGAGGCAGGTCCTCTTTGACATGAAGAAACTAACACTCAGCCCTCCTCCTGTGCCCACTCCTCTCACTTGTCCTTTTCTTTTTCTTTTTCCTTTCCAGGGCAGGCACACATTTGCAGAGAATTAGGGTCAAACCACAAAGCAACAGGAATGCAGGCTCTTCAGCTTTCTCTAGCTCAGACGTTTATTCAGCTCCTGGTGTCAAAAAAGCCCACTGAACGCAAGAGAGGTTAATATCTAGCTCTGTCTCAGTTCTGCACAAACCAGGGCATAACCACATGGACACAATATTAGTATTGCAATAATACTGCTACTAGAACTGGCCCAAATTATTGGAATACTGTTCGTTACACTGGTATTAAATTCTATATTTAGTATTGGGAAGCTTTTTATTTTCTTTTAAGCTACAAAAATTGTAGCCTGATCTACAACACATTTCAACAGCAAAGGCCTTTAAAAAGGACAATGATTGTTACAATATGGGAAATTATAGCAGATTTAATTTGCCGTTGGTGACCACTGCTGTAGGTTATATGAATCCCTCATGAGGCATTATTCACTATGCTGCTTGCAAAAGTATACCTGACTAAATAAGTATTCAAAAAGAACATGACCACATAATACAGTTATACACATGTAATACAGCACTCATATGTTGACTGTGTTTTAGAGTGTTTGGTGTGTTCTACAGTTCTAGAGAATTGTTTACAGTGGTGGTGCTAGGAACCAGACGTCTGAAGAGTTAAATGCCTCTAAAAGCTCCCTCACAGAAAGTTATTACATGAAAGTTTACTACATTTTTATCATCATCATTCCATATAAAAACTCGTGTAGGTTCACAAATGGTTTTGGATAGTAAATAAAATGGCTATATTTGTGTTGTAGTCATGGCGACCCCTGGTTTCCAATCACCACCACTGTAAAGAAACCTGTGGGTGCTTTTTTTTTGGATGGTTCCAACTTTTGGATCATGTAGAGGAAGTTGAGGCAGGCCAAAAAACAACAAAAGAAGAAAAAGAGTGGGAAGAGACGTAAAATGAGCTGCGGTAGCAAAGAGGGAAAGGAGGAGACTATTTAACTGTAATTTGGACTGACACAAAAATGAAAAGTCAGCATTTTTCTTCATTAAAGATGAAAAGGCTACCTGTCGTTCACAGCACACCGGCGTCCAACACACGTTCCTCTACGAACTAATCAACGTCAAGCACAGGTAGACAAAGCCCACATAAGTGATGACGATAAGATGCATGTCATGCAAAGTGCACTCCCTAAATTGAAACGTGAAACCAAAACTAACCAGATCAAATGTATACAACGGAACCAAAACGTGAATCTTGATTTGGACTTTCAAATGTGAGTCTCTAAAACAAACCACTTCACAACAAACCACTCTCAATGACTTTCAATGCTTGAATTATGAAGAATTTTTTTTTTAAATTGGTAGAATTCCCCACTTCTTTTAGTGATCTGCAAAATATACACAATCCTAATTTAACACCAACATGATATTTCACAACGTAGTTTTACTACTTCTATAAATCACTGAACCTGCACTCTACATCTCCAATAACGGCTAAAATATTATACTACACCTATGTCATTATTTAATAACAATTAGAATAAGTCAGAAATCAGCATAGGTAACATCACTGAAGGTCAGCAGCACTGACCTCACGTTTCCAGCAGACCTAAACACTTTACCAGGCAGCGCGGTAGGCCGAGGAAGATCAACAACAGCAACAGCAACATCGACAACAGCGGAAAAATGCTCTGCGCAATTAGCCAGAGCCGTTCAGCCTGGCTTACGCGGGTGAAAGTAAGGGGAAAAAGTCAAATGATGCCAAAGCTTTGAAGCACAAACTCTATGACCTGGACTCGTTTACTGATCAGTGAGGGATGAGTCTGATGTAGTTTTGCCTACTGTGCACTTTCAAATGATGACTTTCCATATAATACAGTAGGGGATATGGCCAAAAATGGACAATTTCAGACATCAAGACATTTTTACGATGTACAATAAGTATCACATCAGGTTGAGCTGTAACAGACGAAAAAAGAACCAGTACCAACAAAAACAGTTCAGGGGGTTTTTATGCAGTGTTTAATTCACAGTACTGCAACTAATCCAATTACACAGGACTAATTATGCTCATTTTGTAAGCGCAAAGCACAGTTGATCAGTGTTCTTTAAGTACTTA